TTTATTATTTCTTATGTATTCGTGAAATTAGTGTTGGATTGGTATTTAATTTTCATATATTATATATGTAACATTTACTTTATAAAAATAACAGAAATATAAATAATCTATATTGAAATATACTTGATATAAGCACTTTTTAATAGATATATTTTTTTATTCTATAACTCATTCCTATCCATAATCCCACACTAACCGTGTAAATCCGAAAGCTTGTCTATCTATTAATTACCTTATCATGGCTCAACGGCTATATGGAATTTAGTGAAAATTAATGTAACGATAGATTATATCATGAGGACGAACGTAGGAACCTTTTATCTTAGAATAAACATACGAAGTACAAATAAACGCTAAATATTTATTATTTAAATTATATAATTGTAGATACTAGTATAGGTAATTGAATTGACTTGACAATTATTGCCATATGTGGGATATATTTAATTAAGAAGAAAGAATTTAATTATATTCAAGTCGTGTTTTCTATAATATTCATTCGCAATATTGGAAAAGGCGAAATAAGAGCTAAGGCAAACAAGAGCTAATATGATGAATAAATACCAAGCTTAATATTACAAAGGTATATAAAAACAATAATGTGTGTATAATAAATTATATGAGATGAATATTGCTTGCTTGGGAAGTTTATTTTCACTCACTCACTCCCATGGAACATTTATACACTACTGGAGTATCAAATTGCTTTATATTCATTTTGAATCCATTGTTTTTAGAATTATCAACGGAAATTTAATTAAATTAATCCTTAAGAAGACTCAAGTTTAAACGTTTTTAAGAAGAATGTTTAAACTTTTTAAAGAAGTTTAAGCGATTGTCGTGAAAGACGTAAACATAGTGAGATTCTTAATTCCCATACGTAGATATACAAATAACATTATAATTATACGTAAATGAGTAGGTTGTTCGTTGCGTGTTCGTTAAATTTTCGCAACTAAACGGCTGAATGAATTTGATGTGAAGGTATATCACATCGCGTACTCACAATCTTATGAATATAAATACGGTACATACACCAAAATAACATTTTTTACAATTTTTTGTAGATCTGTCTGTTTGTTCCGGCTAATCTCTGAAATGGCTGGACCGATTATTTCAATATTACAAACAGTCACTCCAATTTTATTTATATGCATAGATTTGAAGCTTAATGTTTAAAAATCGTGAACAGCTCTAAAGTATTTCGAACATGGTAACACATATACTATCGATTCTACACCCAAATTAAGGGACTCTTTCTTTTTGATGTAGATTAAAAAAAATATAAGCAGGATCTAAAAGGGATAAGTGTCTGGTGTCGGTCGCCGGTCGGCCGTCCTCAGTCAAGGTATGAAAGGAATCAAATTAAACCACCCTAAACCGATGAGTATGCATGAATGTAGAACGGAGATATCATTAGGTGTAATATCAATAAGTATAATAAATACAACATAATAACAATACAAAATAATAATACAACAAAATACACATATTATTTATTTTAAAAAAAGTGTGTCATATTAAATGCATAAATTTGGTTGCTAACAAGTTTTGTTTTAAATCAACTTACATTTAGCTATTTTGTCCGATAGCGATAATTTAAAATTTTTCAATAGCATATGGTTATCGATACCTATCTTATAATTGTTAAAGTCTGTCTATTTGTGCATCCGTGTGTTGCCTTTTGACGGTTCAAGGGCCTTATTGATATAATTTAAAGTGTTATAGATAATATCACGGGGACGGAGGCAATTCATCTTGTATTTCATGAAAATCTGAAAAAGTCGCATTATCATAAACGAAACCATGACTAAATATTTTGTAGCAAATAGGAATGCTCTAACGACTGTGTAGTAAATATACAATGAGAGATGCAGATGTTGACCATTTCTAGAAGAAAAGACACAGATACCAAAAATATAGAGTACATTATTGAACCAAGTCTCAATGTGGGACACATTCCAGGCCAATGGCCCGAGAGCGGTACACCACAGCAAAAATCCAGTCAAAGATTTTTCTCGATGGTTATTCGCTCCGATGCTTCTCTGTATTTTTATCCGGGCGGTGCTTATTTTCAACTTTCAGTTAAGAATATTTATTCTCCCGCTATAAAATCGGTCACGACTGGTAACGGAAAAAAATAAAAAGTACCACAGAGCAATTAATACTAGGTTTTAGAGTTGGCACAGTTTCGCATATTTTTTGTTTTAATTACAGGCTTGCGAACAAAACTTTAAAATAAATCTGTATGTCACAATTGCATATCGTATCATATTTACTAAACAAAGTTTGACATTGTTAATTTTTTTAATGTTCGTTTTCTGTTTTTGTATATTCAATAACGTGCTTGCACTTTATTGAATAAAGTACAAAAAATATTGTTTTACATATCACAAAATAATATATTTATCGTTATCATATTTTACGGTAATTTTTGTGCTGAAATATAAAAAAAATATTATTCTCATACGATGGCGGTAAAGTAGAGAATAATAGGATGAGCATGAAGTCTATTATCATTGGATGATAATGGAATGGTGCACCCGCCTCCGCTAACGGTATACGCTGGCGGGGCACCAGTGGAAGATGATAGGATGGCCATGAAGTCAGATCAGTTAGCTCAACATGACAAATTCACCAGGAATTTATCACGATGGTTTCCAGGAGGAAACGCGTGGAGGTCGACCTGACATGTTACATTGCTAGCAATGGGATCATTAGTCCACATTACTAACAATCCTCTTCCCCCTGAGCATGAAGTCAGGTCGATAGTCCATCATGTAGAATCCTCAGTACTGGGAATTAGCCGCGATGGTTGGATGACCTGGGTGGACCGTGTAGGGGTCGTCCTGGCATTTGAGCTTACTGGTTCCAATTACTAACAATCTGTTTCCTTCGCAATTTCACTTTATTATGGTTTGATATTACATTTTACAAGAATAGAGATAATCGACCGTAGAAAAAGGTTTATTATTACGAGGAAAACTCTATTTTGTCCAATGCGATATGGCCAAATTATAATCATAATGGGTAGATATATAAATCTTATATTGAATATTGTAATTGGATTTATTCTCCTACATGTTCTTATATTTGGACGAGTTCTGTTTGTTATATATTAGGTATTTATCTCGATTCGAATTATTCACAACGGTATAATGTCTAATAAAATAGTTATTAATAATATCTAGTACGTACTATTAAGTTCTGAAGAAATATTACAGGATTAAATACATAGGATCGGAGTTATAAAACTATATTATAACTTCCATCAAAATTTTAATATCATAATAAAGTTTTACAACATCTTTATTAAAAGACAGAAAAGACAGTAAAAACAGAAAAGATACATAAAATTGAAATTAGATATTTTGTTATGATTTCTAAACGCGTACTTTCTAGATCTAGTGCACGGTTTAACCCCAGACTTAGAAATCCGTAGCATTGAAAGAAAATCCAATTTTTTTTATTAGGAAATTAAATCTTTCTACGTTTTGTTTCGTGGAAACATTGTTGCCAATATATGTACAGGTACCTATTTGTTCTTTTACTATTTTCTTACTATCAGTTTGGTTCTTATATATATGAAAGCAAAAGAAAAGAAAAGCTTTATATAAAAATAAACTTTACATGTAACTTTAAACGTTGTTGCACAAATTTACTTTCAAAACTAGGCATAAATCTTGGTTCATTAGATAATTATGTTATAATATTCCTTTCACTGCAATTAATGTTTTTAAGGCTTGGTAAGGGACACGTGACACTTCGGACGATACCAGCGTTCTAAGACTACGCCCCTATACTATCATTATGGTAAATATATACTTGAGATTGATACAAATTCTTTTACAATGATATTTCGTATGTAACTACATTGTTTGTATTCGTGAACAAAACGAGTGTAACAAAAGTGTTAGATTCATATCCATTAAGATATGACACAATTCCGACACCTAGAACACCTCCTCTCTCTTCAATCTCTGCCGCGTTCACACGTTGGACCCATTTTAGAAACGGGCTTTGTATCAGTGGATAGGGTTACTATGTTGTCCTCTTTCTGAGGGACAAACAATGTACCGAGATACTATTGTTTAGTTGAAGGCTTGACTCGCTACTCCATTAGCGATAACATTTGAATAGTTACGTTATTAATGGTCGAAATTGCGAGTTACAGAGCTCCATTGGGACACTAGTAATGTTAATTGTACCTTTACATTGGATCATACTTGAATTCGATACATATTAAAGAAACATACAATGTCAAAATTCTATATTATAATCGAAAATATATGTTTATTTGTCTATTTATTACCTTGAATGTAAACAGTAAAAAACATTTTTGAAATCCAACTAATATGCAAATATTAAGTCAATAAAGTAATGATAATTTAGTATTAAAATTTGTGATGATATCAGAATGACTGTTATTCATCCATGCTCAATATAAGTAACTAAATTTATTTAAATTTTTGGTATACAAAGAAATATTATTCACGATAAAATTAAAAAAAACAATGCCTATAAACAAAGGAGTATTACCTTTAGTCTATTATTGAGGCAGTCTCGGATTGATTACAAAGCAGGCTCCCCCTCCTCGTACAAATAACAATTTACATATAACTAAGTATCTACTTTGTAGATATTTGAGATATTTTTTCAGTAGCTATACTATTTTACAAATAAAAATATTTTACAAAGTGTGGATAAAGAATAAAGTTTTATATAAATATCTCTACAGAATCCAAAACAAAGTCAGCGCTGCTGTCTGTACGATTACATATTTTAAATTACATAATGGAATTTAATGTAGTTTCAGCAATATAAAGAGTGATTTAAGAGGATCATATATATGTATATAATACACCCGTATTATAATACAAAAATGAGATATTCAATGATTTTTATTGCACCCGTGAGAAACCGGAACTGGTCCCTAGTTAAATAAATACATTTCTTGTTGTTAATTTAGATATTGTAAATACTTTTTTTCTTTGTTTCAGTGCATATCTGAAAGATGATTTTGCTGTACTGCCCTACTTAGAGGCTGGGTATAACAGGGTAAGAATCGTAATTATAGTTATTAACTATATCTGTAGTCCTATAACTATAGTCCTTTAAAAGTAATATTTAAAACCACTATAGATTTGAATCCTTACCTTATTTAAAATGTAAGGAAGTACAACAATAACAATCCTTGCCGTCATTAAAATCTCAATTTAATTAATATTTTAAAATTTAAGATTCTTTACACAACATATACTGTAGCCCAATTTTCTATAATAAAAAAAAAGTTATATACATATATGTAACTTCATGGTCCCTGTATATCATAGAACATCAAAACACATATACTGTAGGTATATATGTTTTTTTTCTCGTATGTAATTACTTCCAGTCCATACTCATCGTCAGCGTAAAGGGAACTCTGCGCCCATGGCAGTTCCTAGAAACATGACAGCAATAGTGCCTGTGCGTTTAATTAAAAAAAATCTATCTACATATATATATGTAATAGAAACAATACTGGTCGTTGTCTATACTTGAAAGACATATTGCGAACACTAATATATTGTAATAAGATCACTTAAAATTTTGTATTTTTTGTTATAAAAATGGTTTAAAAACAGTCAAAATTTATACGAATATATTCGCTCAAACTAATGTTAAATATATTTCTCGAATGTTTAGATAATTTTAACTTGAATCTATTGTAACATACCTCTAAAATCTTGCAAAGAGTCACTAATTACTATTGGCAGAACCGTACTTTACATAACAAGTCGACAAAATGAATATCATGAATACGGTACCTAGGTATTTAGAGTCATTAGAGTCACATCACTTGATGCCAATAAATTAACTGAACGGAATTAATTTGTGACAGACCTTCGGACCAATGGACAATAGATGGGTTGTTATCATAACGATGAATCTATTATTGCATATATTTTGTAGTTATTATCTGTAACATGCAACTGTTTATGTATGTGTATATTTTTTTCTTCTATGCTATAATAGTATTATTATCCTACATGAATCGGTGAACTTTGTTACATTGCATATAATTTGATTATTATTATCAATCTTATTCAACCTTCAAACTTCAATTTATATTGAGCAGAATTTAATACCGGCTGCTACTCTAAAAATCTAAAAATTATAGTTTAATATATCGTCTAACTGATAACAGTGTAGTTCTTATGTCTATATAGAGTGGTATTTCTGGTATATATTGTCCACAAACTACGTCTATTAAAAATAAACCGAAGTAGCGATATCCATACCGATTCCTATTATTCAGCTGAAAAAAACTAATGTTACGGATGTACTTTTACTGAGCATTGCCCGTGTATTGTAGCGAACAAAACAAAGAACAATATTCAAATTTTTTTTAAGATCTACTGTACGTTAGACCTACTAAATCTTAAAGAAATATGATATATATACATATATGTAAATATATCGTAGTTATACGTACACTATCTACGTAATCTACGATCTATACAATATCTTAATAATTATTAGAATATTGTTCTTTGTTTTGTATATATAGATATTCTTAGTATCTGTACGACTACTCACTACTTTTACTCATATATTACGAAAAGCAATTTGTAAAGATCTATAGTCTCCATTCGGAATGTTCTGCGTCGTATGCTGACCTCTGGCTGATGTCTGGAGCCGATCTGAAATTTTTCTTATACACCCAAACGGCACGGCGACGGCCATAAATTCCTGTTAAGTCTCCCACGCAGTGGCTACCTACTGAACGCGCCCTTCAATGCTCTAAGGGTTCATTACACTATCACATATATAATAATGTATATAATCTATACCAATTATTACCAATATTATATTATAATTGCGAAAGTTTGTCTGTCTACTAGTCTGACTGTTCGTTACCTTTTCACAACTAAGCAAGATAATGGATCGTTATAATAATTTTAAAAATTTGGTATAATGATAGATTTTGTCATGAAGACGGACATAGGATATTCTTTATCTCAAAAAAAGAACTAAATCGCAGGAAACGCTTGTTTTTGGTCATAAATACAAAATACAAAAAATTATGAAACTTATCTCACTGGTTTAATCACACAGAAGTTATGATATTATAAAACTTATTGCTGATATAAATGCGGCAATGGCGTAATAAATCTATATACATCTGTATTACTCTATATGTTCTCTATATGGAGCGCTCAATATTGATAACCCTCGAGAAAACATAAAAATAAAAAGGTTTCAGCATATGATGGCACTAAAAGGTAGAACATATGACTCATAGTTATTAAATTTGTGTTAATTTAAAACGAAACTATATACAGCTGGAACTTTGTTAGCTTTCATTAATTTTCATCCACCTAATCCAATAGAAACTTACTTACTTTATAATATGCATTTAACACATATTCTTCTGTGCACCCAAGTGCAAAGATAAAATTAAACTTCTCGTTCGAGCTTGAATTAAAGTTTGAGTAGGATCGTAAAACACAATGTAGGTATCTTCGTTCAATCCTGAGGGAATTTCAAACATAATGATTTTATGTTTGATAGTTGTATGTTGTACTAAAAATATGTTTTCTAATTTACGCTGTAAATTATATTTTTTTTATTAATATCATTAATTGAACTTAACTTATAACAAAATATTATAAAAAACTACATATACAATGAGGCTCGCCTTATTCATTTATAGAAAGATATCCATATAATGTACATTAAAATGTATATTTTGTTATTATTCATTTATAATAAAATAATACCCTTGTACAATTCAAACAACATCACCTAGTCCCAAGTGAAGCAGCGCTTGTGTTATGGGTATCAGGCAACTGATATAAATACTTAAATTTTTGTAAATATCTGGGCGTTTACTACGTATATAATATACGTAGTAAACGAAAATATTCGTATATAATATACGTAGTAATGTAACATACATTGCTGGGAATCGAACCCGCAGCCATTGGAAAGAAAGTGGTATGCTAAACCGCTAGACTACCGAGGCTGTCAATACAAATATTGTATAATTTTTCAAAAATTAAATTATTTAATTATCATTTCTAAGTCTTCAATTTGTATATTGTCATTGAGCTTGAACTATTCGACTTCGAGTGGCCCCATATATATCTTTCACATATACAGAATATCTTTGTATAAATGAAACTGAATCTCTAATATTTTTATTCCATGCAATAATAAATAAAATATATAATACGTTACGCACTAACGGGTAACATACAAATTATTAGGTTTTATTCCGAAAAAAATCTGTTCTATCTATAATAAAGAGAGTCATCGAATTTGGAATCACCTTCTGAAATAAGTCACCGTCTTAAGTAATTTAAAAAATAACTTTTTATTTCACAGTAAGAAAACTCATCTAATCGTTACAAAATCTGCATAAGAACAAGAGATAAAATTATATTGCTCATAACAAGAAAAACCATTTAATTTAGACGAATATACTATCTATTGCATAGCAGACATACAACCTGGAAACAAATACACGTAAAATATTATTCAATATTTCCATTATATTTTTTATTTTATTTTGTTCTCTATATATTACTTTCGAACTGCTCTGAATTCCCCCGGATAGAATTTATTTAATATTGGAATGTATTATGTATACAATACATAATCCCCATAAAACGTATCTAAACAAAGAAAAAATGCGGAAAAATAGACTGACTCTTATACTGGTGAGTATATTAGCCTGGTCTAGATTAAATATTATAATTTTGGCCTGACTGACTATGCTATTACTAAGAATCAGTAAACTAAGTAAACAGCAACCGTAATAAATTATTAATGATTTGAGTATAATATAAGTATTACCATAAAATATATTAACGATACAACGCTTGTGTACCTGGGCAGATGAAATAGGATATGTGTGGAAAAGTCGTGAGTTGAAATGAGATGGGATCGAAACTTAATTACAGGGATGGCGGTTCTGAATAGCAAACCTCTCACTGATATACTCATCTACTTTGATATGTATATGCTGGGAATAACTTTAATTATCATACACATATGCTACGACAAATTATATCGAAAGGTAGCGAGTTCAAATAAAATGTAATAACAAAAAGAATTATGTTTTATTTATGACTTATATTTTGAAGATGGAAACATGGGACATATAATATTATATATTATATGTCCCGGTAGCGGTTTAGTACACCGCCTTACTTCCGATGGTCGCGGGTACGATTCCTCGCACTAACATTTGTATTCATAAGTATGATTGTTTGTATCGGTCAGGGTGTTTTCTATGTATGTTATGTACTAGCTTTGCCCGCGAATTAGCTCGCGCAGCGCACGCAACGGAAGCCTTCAAATATGAATATTTTCCCCGTTTTTGTAACATTATACACTGATGCTTTGCTTCTATTGGTCGTAGAGTAATATTATATAGCTTAAATCCTTCCTCGTCAAATGGACTGTCCAACACAAAAAAATTGTTTTATTATTAGAAGCAGTAGTTCCTGAGATTAACGCGTTCAAAAATACTCTTCAGCTTTATAATATTAGTATAGTATACATGTATATAATAATGAACTGAATCTAATCTGGCTGGCGGTGGTAGGCTCATCCCCTGCCACTTTGGAATCAAATACCGACTGTGGAATGTGGGCATGTCAAGCATACGTGTATGAATGTGACCGATGTATATTTATCAGGAATTGTTTAACTACAAACGTACTAATAGGTATATATTATAGTTTGATACACAAAACCTGGTTGATCAAATCACGCCTTGTCTGTTGTGTATGTGGTACATACAAGTATGTATATATACTAATACATTTTGTTTTTATTTCTGTCAAGAGATGGCTTAGTTCATTTTTAGACTGCGCTATATTGAACTTGCTAAATTAAGTATAATTTAGTTTTCACTTTGTTTGATTAAAGGTTTTAGCAATATACCTTTTGGTTTATTTTTTTTTATTTATTCCGGAATGTATTTGTGATTTTGAATCAGAGGCGAGAGTACACGCATAAAATAATTGCTGTTACGCGCGACGTCTTATTTTTTAGATAAAAGATTACCTATATACGTCTTTTAGATATCGCAGTCGTTCAGTGGTAACTAACAGTTACTAATTATAAGAATAAGAACTATAATTTAATGCAATCAAAATTAACAACGGTTGTATACAATTACATAAATTATTAACTATGTACAATAAAAAACTAATTTTATAGAATTTATAACATAAATACGGTTGCAAATATAAAAAAACATCACCGGAGCCAAAAATGTTTACTTTGTTTTTATTTTTGCCAGGTAATGGTGGAGACACTGGGTGCTACAGCATGGTGCGCAGAGGTACTTCAAGCTCGGTCAGCGGCCGCGGTGGCGCGAGCGCAAATCGGCGCAGTCGCAGCCCTGGCCGCCGCCGCTGACCGTTCAAGGGACCTCGTTGCAGTTACTGATGACCAACATAGGATACTTGTTAGTATAAAAAAATATTTTTAACAATTTTTTCGTTAGTATATATTCTCGAGTACCCCAAAGTAAATCTATCTCTATATGCGCTTCTAAAAAACCGCATCATAAAGCACGTCAAATTTATAACACCCCTTTTTTAATCTGGCGCTAAGTTTACTTTAATTTTTTCTTCTAGTTGTAATTCTTCTTCCACTAAAAAGTTACATTTTCTGGGAGTAACATACACAGTAAAATATAACCCGCATTATACTTAAAAATAAAACTTTCAATTTAATTACAGCCTTACGAGGCCGAATCCGGGCGTTTTTCTAATATTATAACAAGAAAATTTTGTGTTGGTGCAGGAATATTTATAACTCCGTCATGCAAAACCTACTAGATGGATTTAAATGAAATTTGGACACACATAGATCATATCCTAGGTTCACACTCATAAAACTGTTTAAACGAATTCACACTAATAATGGCGTAAAATGCAGTTTATCCCTTTGCACATAAAATATGTTTTACTCTTTTTTTAGCTCACTAACAAATCCTGGTGCCGGGTACTTGGTTGGCGAGTTGAGGAAAGTCCTCGACCATTTTCCGACACCGCAGGAGGTGAAGCTCTGCGTTTAGCCACAAGCGGGGCACGGGACTTCGAGGCCCCAGTAACGCTCCGCAGAAAAGCAGCACCTGATCCCATACTGCTACCATGTAGAGGGGCTACAGTTGCTTTAACTAAGTAATTTTTCTTTTACTGTTATTATTATACATCAAAGAACTAATCTACTAATATTATAAAGAGGACAAATTACATTTTTTATACTTTTTCTTTATTAGCGTAAGTGTCATGACCACAATTAACAATTTTAAATGTGAATGTTTTTCTTCTGTTATACTTTTTTGAACTTCGTTTTTCAGTATTAAGGTATTTGAACTTAATTTATATTTTTTATATCTACGACAAAAGTCATAATTAAAGCCAAATTGTTATCGATATTTCAAAAACAAACCTGCAATTTACTGTTTTTAAACTATTTCGTTTTTAAACTGTTTATTTTAGTTCTCATGTGTTCGGGCTGTGTGTGTGTGTGTGTGTGTATTTAGTCTATTCTAACTAATGTTCTGCTCTCCATGGTCTATCAACCCAATATATCCACTTTCAGGAGTACATCTCACGTAGTTTTCGTATGTGAGCCAACTAATGTGGTGGACGGTGAACGCGGACGAGGGTCCCTCCACTCCATCCGGCGAGGTTCCCTGGACGTGCGCTCTGTTGCGTCCGATGGCCTGCGACGTACTTCCTTAGCCAAGTTGCAAGGACTACCATTAGAAGCTCCCATCACTAAGGTAAACTTGTTTTGTTAAATACTAGCGTCGCGCACCGGCTTCACTAGAATAATAATAATAATTTATTTATTTCTCGTCACATACATCATACATGTTAACATATACATGTAGTAATTTTGATAATACAATGCATAAATTTATTATTACAATCAAATATTTGAATATTTGAATCACATCATGTATTATCATCTTTTCTGATCATGTATAACAACTCGTCGAAAAAAACCTTACAATATGCACTTGTAAAAAATTAAAGAAATCAGACAGCCATGCAGTTTATTGGAGATAATTTTCAAAATAATATCTGCGTTTAATGTTAATAAACAAATTGTGGTTTTTATCTTTGTGCATTCAATTTCATATTATTTACTGACTGTTAGGAAATTTCAAACATATATATTAGTTATTTAATAGTTTTTTAATATTATTTCAGGTGATTACGCTCCTGTCAGCGGCAACCGAGGGCGCTCCGCCATCCACGGTGGCATGCATAGAGAGAGCAGTGGACATGCTTCGAACGTCAGAACTGTACTCCCCACAAATGAAGGATGAACCTAAACTCAGGGTCGAAGATCCTATCGCCACTGATCTTATTGGAGCACTTTTATCGGTGAGTTATTCAATTCTATAGATAATAGGTATATGTTATGATGCCATTTTGTATAAAACAATCGTGTCTCTTGTGTGAATTATTGTAACGTGATACTAAAATATAAACTAATATTATGTACATACTGTAATGACTTAACACAGTCCTACAATTACGTATTTGTCCATTCTACTGTTCTAAATTCAATATATGAAATGCACCCATATAATGCTATATAATCAATTTAACTATTGAAAGTTTCTATATAAACTATACCTATATAGAATATAAATATATATATAAATACCAAAACAATTCTAATATATTTAAAATAATGTACATATTTTATCCATTTAATTTTGTTATATTGTTATTTATAGTTTTGTAAGTCTATTTATAAATAAGTAGAATTATTTATGCATGCGTTTTATCAAAATGATTATTATTAATCTGGCATTAGCCAAGAACAAACAATCACATATCTTTTATTTAATTTTTCATAATTATATGAGGTATATAGTAGAAATATGATCCGGCTATCTATGTATGTAATTTATTTATATTGTCTTTCTATATCATAAAAAATGTGTTGTTCTCCGCGTTAACGTTGCTACCATATAATAATAATACAGCAAATTAAAGCCGATAGTACCAAAGATACCTAGTAATGATGAAATAATATTATTAAAGTTCACAACAACATAAGTTAAATATATAATATTTAATTTTCTATTATTCAACTAACTTTGAGTACCTATTCTATGATTACGTACTACCTCAATCAATCGATTTTGAAATATATCATTCATTTATTATTTAAAAATAGACTGTTTGTGTTTATGCCATGTAGTGGCTTTTAGATACACCCAAAGGCACTTTTGAAAGGTAATACTATAAGTACCCTTAATATGGGTTAGAAAGATATGTGGATATTGTATTGTTCGCTTCAAAGGATTATATTACATAACAACAAAATTATAAGTAAGAAATCACACAGAGAAAATATTGCTGTTATCGTTAAAAGCAACCAATGTAGGTATAGAAATGAACATTGTGAAACAAATTATTAATAATATAAAAAGGGATGGAAGGATAAATAGTAATATTATTGTTATAATACTCAGCATCATTAAATTAAGTATTATACTAACATAATATTTATTTGTTTACGATCCGGTTCTACTGGGGAAGCGAGAGCAAGCGAACACAAACCTTTTTTATATGGTAGGAAGTTTGAAAATGGAAACTGTCTTATCTGTCTTCAAAACTCTCACTAGATCGTGACGTCTTTAGATCACTTGTAGAGGGTTACATAATGAGAGATACGGAATATTCTACTTACTTAAAAAAAATACGATTTATATCCCAGAGTACTCATCAAAATTTATATTTAATAGAACTGTGTCTATTTGTAGGCATAAATTACCTGACATATTTAAATAATATTTTTGTTACTCATATTTATAAGTAACAAATACTTATAATCAGCGTCACAAAATCAGTTACAATCAAAGATTTTAACTACTGTTTTTTTTTTAATTTGAATCGTATATTACTGTAACAACAATTAACAATTTGTATTTTTTTATCCAAAAAATATATTCCGTTGCTCTCATTAACATTAGACCCCTACGGTCTGTGCTATTACTTAAAATGAATCTATGAAACGCAAAAATACTGTCTCTATTCTAATAGGCGACAAATGTCTCGCAGATTCAGGTGGAATCTGCCTGCGAAAAATGCACATTTTAGTATTTTGTTAGAAAAACAGACTGACGAAAACTGCGTCTTTGTTATAAAATAAATTTATTTATTTTATTTCAACTTCATATTATAACAATAATGGTCTATATTATGTATATACCTTAAAGACTAACATGTGTAGAAAAAAAGCTAACATAATCTGATTGATATAGGAAACATCCTCTGTAACTGTGTTTAATCCCGTTGCTGTAATTAACCACAAGAGTTTCAATTAGTGTAATACGAGCATGATTTAATCTGCAATTTATATAATTAACTAGCTGTGCCCGCAATTTCGTACCTGTACTCCAAATAATAATGGTTTAGAACTTTTTGTTTTATAACTGATTTGTATGAAACGAACACTAATTTTAAATAGTTTATTTATCACAATATGTTAGTAAAAAACGCATCCAAACGTTTAAGACGTTTCTCAGATTAGCCCGGACAAACACACAGGACAAAACTTCTAATATTCATTGATTTTTAAAGCTTTATAAATAAATAAATTATGGTACAAAAGGCGCACTTAGTTCTCTAGGTATTCTCCACCATTTTGTGTTCTATTAAATTTATAAAATCCCACAATAATATTTTTTCTCATATACCTTCCATATATAGACGATAAGTAACATTTTGATCATATGTAAAGATGTAATATATCCAGCGAAACATTTGTCGCCATATGAATAGCAAGCTTATATAGATATTTCACTTTGTTAGCAACAACTTGCTGAATGTAATTAATTTATTTTATAGATAGTTTAATATATTCTGTCTCGCTTACTAAACTTAATAAGCTTAACTAAACTTTCGTGCACGGGTCTCGTTTAACACTACATGTGAATAACAAGTATTTAAATACGTTGAGCAGTACCTACGTTAAGCACAAAGACGCCCCTAGGTTATTATTTAATTTCAGCTTTCTAGACAACTTTATAGTGTTGTATTAACTTATGTTATTTTTTTTTAGTTCATTCAAAATCGCTATTTAATAATGAGGTAAATTATTGTCATTAAAATATAATATAAATATTTTCAAATGACTTCTAAAAAGAGAAGAGAATCAATTAAATCAGGAATTATTATTATTTTTTGTTTAATTTACGAGCTATGTACTTAGCTAAAATTGTATAATTTGTTCTTAAATATCTCGAATGTTTTTGAACATTGAACAACAAATTAATACCGTATTGTACATTTTTGGTAACAATGTGCAGTATGCTAAAATTATATTCTATTATACATCTAATAGAACTCTTTTCAATATTACAGCAAGGACCTACAAACATAATCTCATCGCGGCGAAGCAGCAATGACTCCACTGTGATCAGACAGACCAATAGGACCAACATTAAACATAAGGTATGTATGTATATTTTTTTATTGTAATATTAGCTATAACATTTTTAATCTAACTTCAATACTTAGACCAAGAAAATTTGATAGATATATATTTTGTAGGAAAATACTCTTTCTTATTCTTGAAGAAAATACATACGTAGCAGAATAAACACTTTATCAATATTCAGTCTTGAAAAGTAGGTATTTATTCAAAATCAAGTGGATCCCTGAAGAAAAAAAGCGTTAAATATACCTATTCGTTTTATTTCAGACTTCAGGCCAACTCCGTGAACTTCTCGATACAGCACTTTGTTGGGACTTCGAGATTTTCCGACTGGAGGATATAACCCGAGGCAGACCTCTGACCCACCTCGGTCTTACCCTCATGGGCCAACGGTTCGATTTGTGTGGAACTCTCGAATGTGATGAACGAACATTGGCTAATTGGTTGACCACAATAGAGACCAACTACCGCCCAAAGAACAGCTACCATAACTCCACACATGCAGCTGATGTACTGCAGGTCAGATTATGTTCATATATGTTTTAATATCACTATTATAAAATATGTCTTCCATTTGGAAAGCATTCGGAATACTTAAATAATTAATTCCGTATCTAACATCTCATCTTGAATCTTGAAAGAATTTTTCAATGTAACACTGAATCGATATAAATTTGAAGACAATTTGTATTAGTTCAGCGTTAGGTTGAATAAATATTTTAAGATCCTTTTAAAACCTAATTCAATATTTAAGATTGAATTAGGTCTTAAAAGGATAAAAAGGAGTAAATGTTTTAGTCAGACCCTTACTCACACACACACACACACACACACAAAATCTTTATAATGCCCTTTTTATTTGTATTTCTCATAAAATTTACTCACACACACACACACACACACACACACACACACACACTATGTGAAGACTGAGCTAGGTACACAAGTTTCATGAGCTATAATTGCAGGCTCTTGTTAAAAAAGTATTCCTCCGACACATTTAAATGAAATTCTCATTTTAAAATGCCAAAAGAACTTTATATTAAAGAAAACTCTTGCTTGTGCTGCAGACTCTATAATCTAAAACTGTCCAAGAGATGGTAGTTTTGAGAGGCGATCTGTTCAATATCTATCGGCCTGTGTGTTTTTTAGAAATAGTATCCATGTATTTACAACAAAAAAATATCTATGTACTTCTATCAGTTTTCTAGTACCAATAACACAAGCTCTACTTAGCTTCGGATTAGATACCGCTGTGTAAATTATCCTGAAATATTATTATGATAACTGTATACAGGCTGTGGCATTCTTCTTGGAGAAAGAGCGTCTGAAGTGCTTGCTGGAGCCGCTGGAGGCGGCTGCGGCGCTGGTGGCGGCGGCGGCGCACGACGTCGACCACCCGGGCACCTCCTCCGCGTTCCTGTGCAACTCGCTCGACCCACTCGCTATACTCTACAACGATGTCAGCGTCCTCGAGTCGCACCATGCCGCTCTCACCTTCAAGCTTACCCTCAGTAAGTGCCACCGTTATGGGAATATTCTGTACAATTTGGAGTTATGAAAAATAAACTCTGAATTTTGCTGAGTTGTGGTCCATATTTAAATTCTATTCTATGCCACTCCATTTCATTCCACTCCACTCCTTTCCATTCCTTTCTCTTTTCTCGTATCTTCTCTTCTTTTCTATCCTATTTTTTATATTCATATGTCTTCCATGTGATGCAATCAATCTTCACATTTATTTTCTTTAGAAAGGGTACTAAGCAGAAAGGCACTACAATACACACTTTTGCATTTTAAAATATTAGTATGGATGACTTTGTCTTGACCTCAACTCATATCCAATTATCTACATCAAAATAAGGAAATCCAGTTAAGCCTAATTAATTCAGTTGTTTACAAATATTGGATCTTATCTATGGCTTATCGAAACCGAGAACTTACCTTATCAGCTAGTTTTGAACCAAATATGCAAATGTACCATCAGTGCATTTGTTAAATATTATAGCGACCCGTCCTATGTTCTCTTAAAAGTAAAAGTAAAATTAAATTCTATAAAACAACCCTGAAATATAACTAGACAACTATATATTTTTTTATTGTTTTTTACTTAACAAATTTAAAGTATAAGCAAAAAATACATATAAATAGTTCGATATATGAACACCATCAAACCAAAGTTCCGCTTTCAATTAACATCGTGTGAGTTTCTGATACTGCAACACATTTATTACTGTGTTGACATAAAAATGTTTGTCTTTGTAACTAATTTTTATGTAATATTCCAACCTTCGAAATTCAAACTGATTCATGTCTCGTGCTGATTTCATTCTAAATTTAAATTCTTACAGGTGACGACCGCGTAAACATATTCAAGAATCTCGACCGCGAAATGTTTAAGACGATGCGGCACAACGTAATCGACATGATCCTCGCCACCGAAATGACGAAACATTACGAGCATCTCGCCAAGTTCGTCAACGTTTTCTACGCCACCAGCGGAGGCAGCAAAGAAGACGGCCTGCAGACTGATGTGAGTAAGACTGACGTACGTATAACAAAGCAAAATTTATTACAAAATTTAATTATATACCTACTTTGCATAATTGGCCAATATTATAATCCTTTTCTATATATAAAACATAAATATATTTTAGTCAAATAAAACAGCTTTTTAAAACCTTAGAACAATATGGATATAGAATAATTCATTCTCCTGCGCTAACAGTAGTACTGGCGAGATATAAATGAAAGTAATAGAATTAACATGAAGTCAGGTTAGTTAGCCTATCGAGACGAATACACCAAGAATTTAACACGATGGTTTCTATAACAGAGATTTTCTTTCTTAAAGATTCACTTAACCTGGTAGATTATTAGCAATGGTGCCATAGTTCTCCTTACTACCAATCATTTCATATGTAGTATGTTAGTATTTATTTCTAATGTATATATTACATTCTAAACCTATTCTCAATATAATTTTGTTCCAGGAACCTTTATCTCTAGATACAACAGCGCTGTCATTGCCGGAGAATCTGGTGTTAGTAAAAAGGATGATGATCAAATGCGCTGACGTCTCGAATGCTTCTAGGCCACAAAAATTCGCATTCGAATGGGCAAAGAGGTAAGTTTTAGTACAAACATCTACTCCGTACTCCGGCTTTATAAGTGTAGGTAGGTATCTTAAGTATTTCAAAATTTAATATTATATTATTCTATTCGAATTTAAATATAGATTTAACTACAATCGAATTTATAGATTTATAATAAATACTCTTTTATAGTAAGAGGTACCTACTATTTCTTTTAATTCGAACTACTGAAGCTATTTAGTTAGCATATAAAATTTTAAAATCTGTAATTTTTTTTAAAAATCTAATATTCATATGCAATTTTTAATAACTTAAAAAAAATTACAATTTAAAAAAACAATTGTTTTTTAAATTGTAAAAAAACTTATGGAAAATTTTAAGAGAAAAGTCGAGTATTCTATAAATTTGGAATAAACTAGCTTGCGGCTCACCTGATGGTGATTACCATTTTTGTTAAGATTTCTAAATGCATTGCCGGCCGTTTAGTAAGAAATAAGCTCTTTTTTAAAGGATTCAATGTTGTATCGGAAATACCATTGCAAGAATATAATTCCATAATGTGGTTGTGCGTGGCAAAATGTTTTTAGAAAAACGCAAGGTGGAAGACCGCCATTCATCCAGGTTAGGATCGTATTTTAGTTTCTAGCGATAAGATATAGTTAGTGAAATGAGGTAAAGTAATTATTGACTATATATATATATATGTGTGTATACTATGACAGGATTGCGGATGAATACTTTCTACAAACGGACGAGGAGAAGGCCAAGGACTTGCCGGTCGTGATGCCGATGTTCGACCGCGCCACGTGCTCCATTCCGCGCTCGCAGCTCGGCTTCATAGACTATATCATCATTAACATGATGGAGGCATGGGCTGGTAAATAATATTATTTGTTTATTATTTATTATCCAGTAGTTTATATATATTCAAATTTTGCGTTACTATTGTTGTTTGAGATAGATGTCTATGTTTAATATGATCCATCTTTGAGCTCAATGAATATATCGACTTAAAGTTACATAACTTTTAAGTCGATATCCCAAAATCACATGATTACGACTGTTATCCCAGTTTGTATATGGGGCGACTCTACCAGCGTTTCACCACAGATAACATAATATTACATAGTTTCACGTAGTAATTTTTAGGTTAGTGTTTTCTTCAGCAGAATGTAAGTCAAAAACATAAATTCGATTAATAATTAATATATAATATATATTAATATAAAATATCCTATATTACTTAAAATTAATCTTATATATAATATTCTCGTGTCACAGTTTTCGTTCCCATACTCCTCCGTAACTTGATCGATTCTCATGAAATTTTGTGAGCGTATTGAGTAGGTCTGAGAATCGGCCAACATCTATTTTTCATCCCCCTAAATGTTAGGGGTAGTCCACCCCTTTTTTTTTTTTAAGGCAAAACAACGTTTGCCGGGACAGCTAGTATAGTATATTAACAAGCATGCGCTATATTTAAAACCATCCCTATATTCTTCCACAGCATTCATTGACATGCCGGAGTTGGTGAACCACGCGCGCAGCAACCACCAGCGCTGGCGGGAACTAGACGAGGCCGGCGTCACCACCATAGCAGAGGTGATGCGAGCACAGCGACAGTATGCTCTGCAGGCACCACCTAACAATACCACCACCCAGCCCACTGCCGAGGAGTAAGACAGCATACAGACAAGTAGAGACATGTCGGTAACATCTATAAAGCACGTATATCATAGTATAAAAAAATATACAATGTGCCATAGAAAATATCAGTAATGCCCACTGATATTTTGCTTAATATCAGTGATTAAACATCATATGTGTCGGTAACATCTATAAAACACCCGAGAATATGCCATAGTAAATATCAGTAATGACCACTAATATTTTACTAGGACTTTGTCAGAACTGGAATAGAAGATCTATTGGAATAGATCTTATTAATAGGACAATGTGATTGTAATTAAAATAATTTGTATCGGTTTCTGCTGATGTCGAGTGGATATGGAGCACAAAAGAGATAATAAACCTAGGCATATGCGTAACCAGAGATCAAGAGCGGATATCTGCTCTTCTCTAAAAATTCTGATTTGACTGAATTGAATGCATTAAAGTTTGAAAAACACTGCGAGGTCGAGAAACTGGTTTTACGTGGGTTCTGGACGGGGGGGAGGGGCCCGAGCCAGAATTTGGGTACATCTAAAACGTAAACGCACTAGAAGTAAACCTAGTAAAACTTTAACCATTAGCTATATCTAATGGTTAAATTTGAAGATCATTCTGAACCAATCTGACTTAAAACTTGGACCTGCAGAGGTCATCTGAAGCCTCATTTCTTCGCCAAAACTATATTTGAAAATTAAGCTTTACTATATTAATCATGTATGTATGTATCTTTTTAAAAAACCTTTCTGATATTCATGGTACTTGTTTAATACTTTGTAAAAATTTAACACACCTAATTACTATCCATTAAGTTAAATATGGACCATAGGTTAATTAGTATAATCGAGCAGTTAAATGAGGCGAAAAAAAATTATAAAAATGTTTGTCCATTGACTATCCTAATAGCATTGCTAAATAATTATTATTTGATTGGGGACACTCGATCTATGAAATGTTAAGTAGATATAGAAATTGTTAAACGTGTCTATAAATTTATTTTCAAATTGGTTCATATAATAGATAGATATACATATATATATTTTGTTAAATGTAATTAATTTTAATCAATCTATGTGTAATTCAGAATTGTGGAAAGTCAGACTTTTAGTATATATATTCTGCCATCAATTAGTCAGGAAAATTATGTTGAAGTAATAAGAAGCAGGAAGGACCGAATAATTTGTATGTGTAACATCGCTATTACACTAAAAAACATTAAGTATAAACTAAAAAAATATATAAATTCAGACCAAGTTTTATACATGTTGTAAAACACAATTTTTGTACGCAAAAATGTATTTACAGTAAAATATTTGCGACACGTTTCCTATTATAGTGTAAACGCGGTGTAATTTATAAGAAAATACCATATAAAGAGCGATGTCTCTAAAAATACCTTAAATATATGTACATGTGCTGCCAAAACCTAGAAGTGTATTCTACTAATTTTATATAGATAATATCGAAACTCTAGGAATTCCTAAATTAAATGACGACTTAACGGAGAATGGTTTTAGCCTATAAATATTCACAGTAGCATTCCCGTCACAAAGTATAATGTAACCATGGTGTTCTTCGTGTTTACAAATAAAAAAAACAGTTAGTACCTTTAACAAAACTTTTACTTAGACTGCTGATATACAGTCGGTTAGTCGTCCGGTGTGTAGTAACCAAATGAGTTAATCGGAGTTTATTAACACCTTAAACTTAATTGAGCAACCTAATAACTGACAGAATTATATGTATGACAGAATTGTATATATATAGCAGCATGTACCTAATATAGTACCATGTATAATCAGACGAGTGCCTCAAACTATTGACGATATTAAATCAATAGTTTGAAAGCTACACGAGAAAAACTACAGGAACACTGCGAATATATCAGTAATTTTCAAATAGTTAAGTACCTACTCTTTGTAAGGAGTTAAAATGACCATAAAACAATCGTATTCTATGTATTTTATATGATCCTAACAATAACATTCTTATACCAATGTTTGTATCAATTAAACTATTTGTATGTACTTTACATTTATATTTAACTCCACCAATCTAAATAAGTGAAACATCTTTCAAGAATCTAGTGCCTGTCTCTCAGTGTGTCAAACTGAATTAAGCAAAGATTGGATCAATCTGAAGGTCAAGTAGATAAAATAATTACGAAAATGGAAGTCAGATGTATCTATATTAAACCTTTGGATATAACGTCAAGTCTGAAACGGAACACTGGCACGAAAGCCTAAAAAAACGTGTCCGAAAATACGCTTATTTTATACTTATTATAACCGTAATCATGAATATATCATTGTATCGTAATTGTTGATGTCTACTTTTTTAAGTAGTAATATTTATAATATTAAAAATAAATTAAAGTAAAAATTGAAGTTTCGAGATGTCTGTTGGCGTTACTATATATATCTTGTGATGAATACTTACCTACCTATTGGAATAGTTGTCTTAAGGAGATATTACATTATCAAATATATTGGACCATATCTCCATTTTGGATTCTTAAATTCAGGATAGAAACGAAGATATTCTTAAACTTTATCAAATTCTTATATTAACAAAGTTATATAAATTTGATACAATATATTTAAAAATGGAATACCATAGATAGAACCTTATTACAATATCAAATAAACTAATTTATGACTAATTTAATAACAATTTGATACAGTAGTAATAAGAGTAAAAATGCTTTTTATGTAACGTCACTTCGTTTCTGTCCTTTATTTGTGCTTATGTAATCTTATAATCCTACATGTATTATAGTGTAATAAGGCCCATATACCCATAAATGTGTGGGTACCTATCATAGTTTGTTGTCTAGTTACATAACGTTGTACGTTACCGTAAACCGTGATATAAGTGCCATATAACAGATACTGGCAATCACAACATCTATACATTTCATTGCACCCCATGACAGCATATTATAGCCGTACCCAAAACCATAGTTATTGTAAATGATTAATGTCCTTAAAAATACCACATTCATAGTCTATATATGCATGTTTCATAATATTACAGTTAATACTAATAAAAGTATTCTTCGATATCTTATATTGTTATAAAAGTTTTAACAAGTTAAATATAAAATTAAAAATTTTAAGTAACCCTCGATACAAAAAGATTAAAAGTAAATACCCATAATATTTAAAATTCCTAGCGCAACTAACTAAATGAAATGGATAATTTTGAACAGATCATCATGATTTTTTTAGAACCATCTAGATAAAAAAAACCGCAGCATTTTTTAAACCGGTTCATTCTTTTGATAATTACGATGTCACCGACTCACACGCAGACACGTCAAACTTATACCCATCTTTTTGCGTCGGGGGTTAAAATTTGGTCCATTATACATTTGAGCTTTCAAAGAATCCTATTTTTATACTAAACTTTTTGTAGTGTACCGACTCTTTCGGTCTCATATCAAAATTCCATTGTTTATTTATTACTTTCAATTCAATTATTTGTTATTTTGAATCAGTCCTTAAAATTCCTTTAAGTCCTTATTAATTATAAACATTTTATACTTAACAATATTAATGTTGACGTTATTTATATTAGGACACCTGAATATTTCTTCATATAATTTATTATCGAATAAGGTCTAATGTATCTTGTTAAAAATAAGTATTAAGGTAATTATTAAAATATATATATATAATATATTCGTCTGTATGACGCTGGCATGTTAAGTGAATTTAATTGTGTAGTTTCTAAATATTAATACAATTATGAGATCATGAAATACGCTTCCCTGTGCTCAATGTCATTATAAATATATTATATAACGGTCTAAATATACATACTTCACTATTGGAAACTTTTAATATTTGTATTATTGTATATTTCCTATTTGAAATGGAATTTTGCTACTGCAATATTGATTGTACTATATGCCGTGTTCAGTCTCAATGTTAAATATATTAAATATTGAAATTCTACCAAAATGTAGGTACTTTATGGCTACTAACATAGTATGATTGTTATTTAAAATTTTATAGTTAGCTCAATTTATTTAGATTAACTATGTATTAATGGATGTTGGATTGAGAACATTTCAAATACATTTTATAGTTAAATAAGATCAAACCTTTTCATGTGTTTGTGGTCCCAAATACCAACATTCAAAGCTAACCCAACTGAATGTTTTATTTTTAAGCTATATATTATAAGTTGGTCTGTTTGACATGTATGTATAAGATGACGGGGGCTGGTCCCCATAGATATAAATGTGGACATGAAATTCAATTGTTGTGAATTTTATATGGGAACGATATGCGCTGTATGTACCAATTACATTAATGTTATCTATTAATAATGAGATTTCATGTGGAAATATATTCCGTTATACATTTTCATCGCTTTTATAGAAAGAATGTAAGATTTAATTTGCACTTTGTGAGTCGTAGTTACTAACCACTACTACTATTTACAAATATTTCAATGTATTACTGGTTGCTGGCTGGTATTTAAAGAATATAATATGAAAGCGATGAATACGGTATATTTTAAACAGACATTAACGTCTGTTTATGAACAGATATATCGCTTACTTTTTAATTTATATGCTTTTCATTTATTGTTACAGAATATGCTCGTTGTTTTTCTGTAACCACATATGATTAAATGTGTAATAAATTATAGAAGTGTTTCGTCACACTTAGTTGAATAGATGACAATGGTATGGTGCACCTGCATGCACTAACTGTATACGCTAGCGGGATACCCAGTGGACGAGATAGGATGAATATGAAATCACGTCACTTAGCCCATTATGAAGAATTCACGACGATTTCCTGGGGAGACCGCATAAAAGATTTGTGGAAAATATACATAGGCACAGATATACACAGATTTTTGGGGATACTACATATATCATTGCGAAATCTCTTTCATTAATTACAATATCCTGAAAGGCAGATCAATTAAAACTTAAGCATTATCTCATTAAATAATACTTTGAATGAATGTCTATGTTTCAATAATACGAATTGGATGCAATTGTTAAGTGTTGTAAATAAAGGAATAATTATAACATTTTTTTCATTATATAACAATTAAATTTTCCCTTCCAATATCTTAATACATCAATTAATACGAATTTAAACCACGATATTTCCAGGAAAAACCTCAATTACACTCTTAAAAACTTAAGCAGAAAACAGCTACTGTCATATCGTTTCAAGTAACACTTAAAAATACAACGGTCATGGTTACTGATAAAGGGAAGTAAATAAATACAAAAGGAGTAAATAAACTACGACTTGTCCATCATAAAACATTTTATTATAAACAATAATTTAAAAAACATCTTTGTATCATTTATATAACTTACAAATCCAACATTGCGTATCTATAAATGCAAGAATTTATATTATATATAAGCCCCGTATTTCAAAATCAAGACATTTTAATATATTCATTTGAGACCTGTACAATATTTATTAGCTAGATAGGTACATACAGATATCAGTACAGACAAGTTATAGTAAAAATTTGACATATGAAAGCCGGAATGAAAATCATATAGAGTAAAGTTAATTAAAAACTACGAAATAAAAAACTAAACATTACACAACATAACTGTTGTTAATCTTCAAAGTAACCGCGTAGAAATGGTTACATTTGAAAAAGTGAGCAAAAAGTAATTTCTAAATAAGGAAAGTTATAAATAAACATTGTTTATAGTCCGTCAATTTGTGCAAAGCGTTCAAAGTGTTTAGCTTAGCGTTTTCGATGCATTTATGGTGTCGAAACCCGCATAGACTCCATATACATTGACTGTATTATTACTGTACCACTGTAAAAAACCTTTGCTATCCACAATCACGCGAACATCTTATATTTATTCTTGCATTGACCACATGATAGCGAAACGTATTGCACCAAGTTAACGGATCGTATAAACAGTAGACAAGATATAATGTTTTTTTTAAATAAAATTCTACAATACATAGAGTTCATTATTTCATCTAGTGGAGGTCGTTCTATTTACATAAATACAAAAATATAAT